GGGAAAATTATTCGAACGGCAGCCGGTGGCGAGATTTAATTGCGTTCGTTGCCTTTTTGTCGATCGGTATTCGAAATGTGAACGACAAGAAATGCCTTGCCCATTTCATGAAAAAATGATGTGCTTAAACATATTTTGCCACTTACTGTTTACGTTTTTAGCTCTACTGTTTCTACAAAGAAGCCAAATATAGTATTGGTAGGTTTGACCATATAAGTAAAGCTGTGGACGTGTTTGACCTTTTTTGTTTGCACGATACTTTTCCACTCCAAACTATCTTCGCATAAGATGCGGCAGATTTTTTTTCTAAACCTCAGCTCGCACGTTAGGAAAAAAGAACTCTTCATTTTTATTGATCACTTACTATTACCAAGCAGAATTTCTTTACACTTGAGTTTGGATAGAACGGCTAGAACAGTTTTCCTAGATAATTGTGTTGTATGTACGTATGTAGACGAAGCATGGGCTCCACTAAGATAAACTGCTCGAGAAATCGAAATACTGGCTAGACGAGCATGTCACTTGCAGGGAGTAGCGAAACCCAATCGCTTCACTTGATCTTAGCATTTAGATGCACTGAGATATTTTGAAAGTGAACAGTACTAAGGGTAAAGGATTATTCGACATTTAACAAATCGGTCCCCTTGACTTTGTAAATTGGTGCTGCGTGTTTAGCCCATCTGTAATCATTTTGCCGATGCATGGGTGGTCATAGAGGGACTCACAAGTTCGATAGACTTCGTTGAAACTGTGGAGCTCAGCTTTAAGCCCAACACTTTGTGACACTTATCAGTGAAGACGCTTTTCCCTAGGTCCGATTTCGTTGTTTTTCTTTGTCTTCAAACAGGTCTCCTTTTGTAAGGGCATAAGGGCGGTAGGTGCTTCCTCTTAATAAAATTTTCCAGTACTGCAAATCTGTTATCGCTTGCGAATTACCTGAACCTTTTGAATCTTTTAAGTAGTATCCCTGATCGATTCAAAATCTGGTACCTCTGCGGATTTTATAGCAGATCTACGCAGAACAGAACCATCTGTTTATTTTTTCTTCTTTCCTTAATTTTCACCTCCCTATCGGCTACAAAAGATGTTATCAAATAAGAACAAAATAAGCGAATCGAAAAATTTGATTTTTTTATAAATTTTCTGCGCCCTGTCAAAGTGATTTCGTCTTGAGTTGTTCAAGACAGGCTAAAAAACCTCTGCTGTGTTTTCTCCCTTTGCTTGGGCATGTCAGTCCGGCAGTCATTTGTTTCCTTTTTCCTCCACGCTTTCCGTGACAATCCGCATGCTTTTATTTTCCTGCTCTTTCGTATTAGTAAAAGAAACAACTGGTACTGCATGGTCCATTCCAGTGGGACAACTAGCTTCGAGTATGGCAAATTCGGCTTTGCGCAATTAGCGATGGGCAAGATGGGCATGGGTAACGTGAAGCTTGAAGATGTGCCTATGACTGAAGACGGAGAAGTTGACTACGAGGCTCTACTGAAAATGCCTCAGTAGCTAACCTAGGTCATTGTATTTCTCTTTTGATTTTCTTTTTTGAAGATTTCTCGTTCGCGAAATGTGCCAATCATTGATTGTGATTCTTGATAGAAATTAGATTTCTTGTTATTTTAACTATAACAGTTTTTTTTATTTTAAGGGTTAATGAAAATCGTTATCTGCTTCTATACGCTGTTCATAATTCATGTTTCTTAACAGTACTAATGGGGAATGGGACGAAATCCTTGTTTGTAAGGGCTATTTTGATAGGTGCGTGTATATCGACAATAAATATTGCGATTATCGTATGAAGCTCTTGAAGTTTTTGGCGTTAAACAATCCCGTCGAAGGGTTACGCCCCGCACTCGACTTCCATTCAGAATCGAAGTGGCGTAATGAGTGCGTGTGTGGTCTATACAATGACTTGCGGTGACCAGCTGATGTACAAGTCAGTGATTTTATCATCTCAGACGAGTGCATGTGATATAGAACGCCATTTGCCATTGCAGCATCTCCGCCCGCGATTATCCTGTGATAGTATTAATTATAACACTTACCGTGCCGCGCACCATCGATTTTCCGCCCTGTCGCGAAGCAGCAGTGGTTACTACTCCCTGACGTTGACTTGCGATGGAGCTCGAAGCTCAAGATTCTTTCTGTACAATAGAGTGTTAAGAAGTCTTATCAGTTAACTGCTTGCTATTTATAACGTGTGAAGGTGTGCATGTTGGGCATACGTGAAGTCAAAAATCATTGGCACGAAGATTAACGCAGGAATGATCTCTCAATTGAAAGGCCGAGATTGCCTTAGCTAGGAGTATCGGATCTACCTCGCTATGGAAGTATCCACAGAGTGACTCTTAAAGCACTAAATGCTGGTTGTCCGTACCCAAAAGGGATCGTGCTTTCACGGCGCTGTAGAGAATGCGTCATTCATAACGGAACATATACATTGAAAATTCAAATAGTTGTTCGATATTACGTAAATCTACTGACGACAGCACATCGGACTGCCCAACAACCCGCTCCATGTCCTCATCCAAGACATCCTTTTCGGTACCTCGTATATGTGGTGTATGATTGGAGACGCCATTCATGAATGCTAGCTTCTATGTGTTGTGTCCACCAGCAGTTAAGATACTCCGAGAGATTTAAAGGCCTCATATTTGCTGCAACATCAATAAAGCAACTGCATAGAATCTTTCCATTGATTATGTATCTATGGGGACTCCTGGAAATCCAAGCTTTTCCGCTACCTCTATTTTAAGTGAGGGAACACTAGAATCAACCAGATCGCTCGAATGTTTGCAGCAACAATGAATCAATCTATCCCAAGTCTATAAATCCCGACAGTCAGACCAGTGTGAAAGCGTAGCATTCATACTGCTTGCATACATCCGCTTTAACCCGTGACTGATTAGTTCTTGTTGGAGTCAAGCCTTTAAAAACTCACCATGTTGTCGCTTTAAAATTGCTTATTCAAAGTCATCTTTGCCGAACATTTCTTTCTATAAGAGGTTTAGTAAGCATGTAAAGTAAGGCTAGAGGCTAGAAGTGCTTCTTCGTGGTCACTGTTTTAGGATAATCTCTTATGGTCAGAGTAGTTGTGTTTAATAGTTAGTGTTCCTTTGTAATATTTGGGGTCATACTGATAGTTCGGCAAGTACACTGGGAGATGCCGTCACTCGGAATGAAAGTCTTCGAAAGTGGAGTGAACTGATTGTCTCTAGTGGGTGGAAGATGTATGTTCGTAACCCACAAAAACCTACACAGGTCCTTATGTGGTTCAACGAGGCGAATCTCTGTAAAGGCTGCTTCGATGTCACACCTAAGAACAATTTTATCAATATGTCATGGATCTTATTTATAAAGGATTCTTTTTTGTGAATGGCATCATTTAGCAAAAATCTGTGTTGTCGCTTGGAGGCCGCATCCAAACTACTCTAAGTGGTACCTTTTCGTTCGGTCTCCACACGCCGGGGAGACGCATGTAATAGGTACAAACAACTCCGGGTTCTGTCGCTGAGAGGAATTCCATGGTTCCTTCCCTCGCATACTTTTCAATTATTTGTGACTATTACCTTCGCTGATCGGAGGATAGTTGCAATACGTGTTGCAGGGATTCAAGGCGGCGAATCGCCACGCTATATTTGTCCTCTAATTGGATAACATTTTCTTGTAAAGGGAACGGCTCCGTTACATAGCCATTTTCGAATAAAATTGTTTTGTAGTATTGTTCTAGATATTTGTGGAGCATTGTTTGTTCGCCTTGTTCATGAAGAACCATCGTTGCATGAAAGGAATTATTGCAAATATTTCCTGCTGCTAGTAATCCCTTACCGTAAATCGTCGGAGCGAATATCGTTCGAGCAATATGAAGCCCTGAGGGCGTTTTGGTTGAGTGGTTTTGACGCGATCTAAATTCATGGTAGTGGTCAAGACGGATCAGTAGGAGGTTTGAAATTTCCACCGTAGTTTTGAATTTGATGAGCAAATGTTGTTCTCTTTCAAGAAATCAGTGTCCTCTGTGAGTTTGACGCTCGGAAAACCATTGGTATTGGCTTCGCGAATATTTCCATCTCCAGCTCATCGCCAAACGCCGAGCTTACTTTTATTATTGTCACTTTTATTGTGATAACGTGGAATTCGAAATTTTCTATTTTTGGAAGGCCAAACTTCTCTGCTACCTCTTCCTGTACGGCGGATTTTTGTGCCCCGGAGTCGAAGAAAAAGAGTATCTTTTCGCACGCTTGTTTCATAAAGATCCACTTGTTTCCATCAGCAGTCATTAGGACTAGCTGAGAGTCCGCTTGGTTTTGCTGATCAGCAAGCAGAACAGTGTCTTCTGTTCTCATTTGAGCGTTGTTATTCGAAAGATGTCCGGAGTAGGTGGCACCGTTCTGGCTTCTCTGCAGATGACCCCTGCCTTGGTTGCCTTGATGTTTGGAAGGATGTTCGAATCGTCGCGAAATTACATGCCGCGTCCATCCAGAATTGGGTGAATGTTCCGTTGCCCGTCTGTTTGTACGTCGGTTTTTGTGTCAGTCCGCAAGTCACGTAGGCGCGATGAGGCTTGTGAAATGTCACGATGTTAAAATGGCTGAGAGGTAGTTATGATACAAGAAGTCAACTGATACTGTTTATACATAGTCTTACTAACCGATTCAAATCACTTTGTAATCTGGTGCACGCGTTAGCATGCACAGCCCAACTGGTGTAAAATACGTATATTTACTAGAGCCTGTTAGAAGGGTAAACATTCACCAGCAAATTAAATGAACTGGATAGAAGCAGCGAACTGAAAAGAAGGAACTGAGCCAATAATGAAATGAATGTCTCACACGGTCTCAACAATGCAGTAGCTATTCATTCTTCCACGAAAGGTTATGACATGGCTACCAACAGTTGGCCTGAAAGGGCTGTGGAAGTGAGCGATTTTCAGGTGCTAGGTCCCTAAAAGTATTATACCTTCACTGTGCTCACCATCCCCATTCTATTCATCTACATCTTGCGGTCGCAACCAATCCATGGTGATGTAATGCGGCTCAATTCTGTCACTCGATACAACGGCAAGAACCATGGTCTTCTTCACCTTAACGAGCAACATTCATTTATTACTAGCACGAAGGAGCCCCAACAGAGGTCAGTCTTTGAAAGCGATATGGAAAAGACTATGGCGTTGCTAGATCTGTCCTCAAAAACGATGAGCTTATATTGTATCAGTGAGGTTGCCATACGGCTACTATGACCATTTCTGCACCTCGTATCATTCCCTGCCCTCCTATTTGCATAAAATTTTCTGCTGTGGTCTGAACGGATGACTGCAGACAAGGGCATCTACTCCCTCATCTGCAATTCAATTACCTGTTTGATATTCAATGAATTTCCCCCTATGACTGCTTGTTTCATGTGGTTACAGAATCCCTAACAGATCACCCAGCCCATCTGCAACTAATATTGGACCAGCAAAAATGTCTCCTTCAGCATACTAAGCGAAGTGGCGATTGGTCTAGGCATAAGTCTTTTTCTGCTGTATTCTCTGATGAAAGGATGAATGATAACATCTTTAGACGTTAATCGATCCCGTCTGAGGAAGGCGTCCCCGCATTCAACTTCCATTCAGAATTATAGCGACTATTGAATGTGTACGTGACATTTGCAATGGCTCGCGGTGGTCAGATGATGTATGAGTCAGTGCTTCCTACAAGGGTTTGGTATCGATCAATCGCGTGATTGTTTGACTTGAGCGGATATCTATCTGAGATTCGAACCCGTGACATTGCGCGTGGGATAGCGCCGCTTGCCACTACGACACCTCCGTCGGTATTATCTGATCAAATAATCAAACAACTTTTCAGCAGGACGACGGCAATTTCCCTCCATTTTAGCCTTGCATTAAGGATCACGTGCTTTCTTCCGAGTTTGTCAAGTAAATCGCCCATGCCATTGCATTTATTAACAATTAATCCTTGCTACCCACCGGATTATTTCCAACTGACGTCGCTCAACTTTTTGAATGTTCCTGATCCCAAGCTCCACAATGTAATCAAGAGCGATAACGGCCATACTTCAACGGGCCTTCTCAGAACAGATTGGCTGCTTTCATAGTCCACGACTCGGCCCCCGAGCGCGCGAGCGAGCGACCGGGGGAACTCGCCCCGCGGTATCGACAAAGATTCAGGGGTGTATGTCGTTTGGCGCGGCCCCTCGCACCCACCTTGCCATTGGGGCGCATGGGCTCGTTAACTGCCTCTTTGGCGCCGCCCATTCGAATCGGTTTGTGAGCTGGGCAACTCGTCCACCTGATTCAACCTCCTGACAATGCTAGTCAGCCTACCCACTGCCCATCCAGCTGATAGACGCCCGATCGATAACGCCGCTATGATTAGACGCCGAATTGACCTACCTGTATCCTGTCTAATGCTACCGCAAATTTGGCAATTTTTTCGCCCTTTTTTTGCTTCTCGAAATTTTCGAACCCAATTTCAAGAGAATACTGCTAAGTTGCAATGGAGTGGAAGTACCATGGTCGTTTTGGAGCCTGATACTTACCACTTCAAA